CCAAAACCCTCTCCAACATGGGTCCTACCCACAGGCTGCAGTTCTTCAGGAGCTGCTCCAGCTTGGGTCCATTCCACAGAGTGCAGTTCTTCAGGAAGAGACTGCTCCAGCGTGGGTCCCCCACGGGGTCACAAGCCCTGCCAGCAAACCTGCTCCAGCCTGGGCTCCTCTCTCCATGGGTCTACAGGTCCTGCCAGGAGCCTGCTCCAGCGTAGGCTTCCGTGGGGTCACAGCCTCCTTCAGGCACATCCACCTGCTCCGGTGTGGGGTCCTCCAGGGACTGCAGGTGGATATCTGCTCCAGTGTTAACCTCCATGGGCTTGCAGGGGCACAGCCTGCCTCACCATGGCCTTCACCATGGGCTGCAGGGGAATTTCTGCTCTGGCACCTGGAGTGCCTCCTCCCCCTCCTCCTTCACTGACCTTGGTGTCTGCAGGGTTGTTCCTCTCACATATTTTTCACCTCTCTCTTTGGCTGCAGTTGTGCAGGGTTGTTTCCCTGCCTGCCCCTTCTTAAATATGTTATCCCAGAGACGGTACCACCATTGCTGATGGGCTTGGCCTTGGCCAGTGGCGGGTCCATCTTGGAGCTGGCTGGCATTGGCTCTGTCCTTGGTGTCTGCAGGGTTGTTCCTCTCACATATTTTTCACCTCTCTCTTTGGCTGCAGTTGTGCAGGGTTGTTTCCCTGCCTGCCCCTTCTTAAATATGTTATCCCAGAGACGGTACCACCATTGCTGATGGGCTTGGCCTTGGCCAGTGGCGGGTCCATCTTGGAGCTGGCTGGCATTGGCTCTGTCAGACACGGGGAAAGCTTCTAGCAGCTTCTGACAGAAGCCACCCCTGTAGCCCTCCCCGCTACCAAAACCTTGCCATGCAAACCCAATACATGCACAGAGCTCAGGAGCATTCCTGATGAGTACAGCATCTTGCTCTTTGACCTGTACGTGATTTTATTTATTTATCTATTTATTTATTTTTAAGCAGTGGCACTGTTTCTTTAGACAGCTCTGTATGAACTCCTGCATGCTAGGGGCAGAGATTGTCCCTTTGTACCAGATGTGGATATACAATATAGACAGTCATGCTTTAATGCCTGTGCAGCAATCTGTATTTTAATAACGCTTTCCTTTTGCCTGTCCGTAGAGCGTGTTGTAAGGGTGCTGCTGTTTGACTTCAGCCAGACCTTCCTCCTTGGGGCTCTCCAGGCATCTGGCAAGTGATAACACTAAATCTTCTGGCGTAAATAAATATGACCTAGCCCTATAGTTAAGAAAGCAACACGGGTTAATTGCCATCCCATGCTCAGCTGAAAACAGACAGCTGTTACTCTTCAGCAGTGGCTGGAGTGGTTGCAAATGGCACGTCTTACTGCACCTCTGGCTAAAGGCAGGTGTGAATGAGAAATCTGGAGCACGGGGAGGAGGATGCTGTGCTGCAGCTCCCTGTGTGAGGACTGCCCTGGGGTCTGTCCGTCTCTGCTATGTCATGGTTCGTGTTGGCTCCAAAATGGGAGGCAGTACAGGGCTGCTGCTGAGCGAACGGCTTCTGCTCCTGGTCGGGGCTGGCAGCGTTGGCAGAGTGCTGTGTGGGTGTAACTGTGCTGCTTTCGGGACTGGAAATAGCATCTCTGCCTGGCACTGTATTGAGCAAGCCCAAGTGGGAAGTTGGTACCAGGTAAACACCATGCAGTAAATGCCTACAGAGTGCTAATTTGCCTGTATAGACAAATTCTGAGGCTTAAACTCAGCATCTGTTCAGCTCAAGCAAGAAAACAGATCTTTAATAGGTATCTCCACACTGTTTTATTTTAAAAGTGCAAATCATTCCCAACAGTGAAAGTACTTTGCTGTCAGTGAGCTTTCAGTACCTCTTTCCTAAACCATAGAAAATGTCTTTTAATTAACTGTCTTGTAAATTAGTTGAATTTATACATGTATGCAATTTAAGCTGCCATGGTTAAATGTATGCAAGCTGACTTTGGAAAGCAATACAGCTCCTGTATGTTTTCAGAGCTCAAACGTGGGGTAGGGGAATGGTTAGGATAGGTAAATAAATCCCTTTTTGTCCTGAGATCATGTCTTAGATGTAGGCTTCTGTAATCTAACACTTTGGTTTTGAGTATAAGCTGCTGGAGAGGCTCCTATAATTCTTATTGACAGACTTTTTGTACATGGTGGGGACTGCACACAGTTCCTGAACAGCCATTACCTGGGAGATGCCCTCACCCATCTTGCTGTCTGAAAACGTCCACTTTATGGGAGAAGGACGGCATCACCTGCCTTCTGCTGTGTGGGCTTGGGGTTTCTCTGTGCTCCCTTCATGGAGGGGGCAGTTGTCACTGCTCTTCTTAACTAATCAAGTCGCTTTTGAATTCTTGCGTTCTTCAGTATTTCTAGTGCCCAGTTTGTTCGAGGGGTGCTGCTAAATCAGTCGAGACACATAATCTTCTGACTCCTCCCTCTACTGGCCTGCCAGGATGAGCTTCTGGGCACCAGCCATGTCCTTAAGCAGTAACTGGGCAGTACTGGAGGTGGGGCAGCGCCGTCCCCTGCACTGATCTTCCTTGCAGAGAGACCATGCTCTTCAGAATTACACATCCATAAATGGATATTAAAATATACAATATGTGTTTTCTAATAACTCAGTGAATGTCTGGAAAAGTATTACTTTTGCTAGCCTCACAATTTTATGTGTAAAGTATGTTACATTGACCACTCATTGAATGGGAAGGGGTGAGGGATAGTGTAAATATGCCTTTAAAATTAGCAGAAGGAAGGCTAAATGATGATGCAGCAGAACTGGTAAGGGGAAGAAAGAAATCTTTGTTTTCTGTAACTCCCTCGGGTCTGAAGAAGTGCATTTGTAAACTCACATGGGACAGATGCTATGCATTTGATTAGCTTTCACTCATTTTGGTAGTTTAATGCTGAATAAGAGGTATGCAGAGTTGTTGATACTTGCATGCTTCTCATGTGGCTGTTTCTTTACTGCCCCAGTAGTAAGTTGATGTATTTAAATGACAAAAAAAAAAAAAATGTGCCTTTGAGCTGTCAGTGTGTTCTGGCTTTCTTATAGGCTGGTCCAGGGACCATCATCATGGCTTCAGGAGTCCAGGATTTTAACAGAACAGAATCTGACAGACTGAATGAGATCAAAGGTCACCTGGAAATAGCCTTACTGGAAAAACACTTTTTACGTAAGTATAAAATTAGTGCTCTGTGGAAAGGAATGGTTTAAGCCTGCTGAAATAAGGCTTCTCTAAACTGCAGAACTTGGCATTAGAATTTTGAGGCGGGCTGATGCGCAGATAGCACGTGGGCTGACACTTCTCTAGGAGGAACTTAAAAGCATTCCCAAGGTTTATGGGTCACTTGGATATTTTTTTCCTCGTTGCATTCCTCAGAAAATACCTCACTGTATGACAAAAGCTGCTTAGGTGAAGTCTTGGTGTTGACATCTTCAGGTTATCTTAGAATTAACTCAACCTTAATGTGGTTGCAATAGGTGTTTTTTGTCTAGTAGTAATTGTAAGAAGGAAGAGATTTCTGAAGGGGTGACCAAGACATTTTCTTGGCAGCTGTTTCAACAAGTAATATGTCTTAAAACATGTTTCTTAACAGTATATGAATTACTGGTAAGTGGTGTAAGAAATACAGATAAGACTATCTGTAGCTTTCAAGTGTTACTTGTTTGGTTTTGTGTGTGTGTATATATATATACGTATATATATGAGACAAAATTGTCATTCATGGCTAGAGGCACCCATAAGACTTTTGGGATTTTATCTCAGCAGATTTGAACTGCTGACTTCTAAGGCAGGATAGTTAAAACTGAAAAAATGGGAGACGAGCATTCCTTTAACTTGATAGAATTAGAGATCCCTGTAATAAATCAACGCGAATTCTTGCTCAGTTGTTTCCCCAAATGGTCATTTCAATGGATTATTTTTGAACTTCAGAATATGAGGGTTGTTTTTATGTGTTCAAAACTTGCCAGATATTTTCTAAGGGGTAGAAATAACAAGGCTATAGATTCTATTCAATTTCTAGACTATAATCTAGCAATAAGACTTGTGTTTTATCTTCAGTATATTCTCAAGGATTTGGAATTAATTTTCTGTGACTTTTTTATCATTTGGCAAGATTTCTTTGATATTTTTTTTCCTTGTGTATGAGAGGGAGGCATGATAAAGGAGACTGGGGAAGAATTTATAGCGAGCTGCTATCAGCTTCCACTGGTATCTGGAAGAGGTATCGTGATTGGAATATCAAGCAAAAACTGAAAGCTCTGTTTGACTTCCTGTGTTGGTTTCAGTGATTTATTTGAATTCTTATTTAACTGTGCAGTACAGAGTTACCACGTTACTCCTTCCATCCCCAAAGACATACTGCTTAAGCTCCTCTTATCAAATTGTTTTTTAAACTAGATGGGACGTTTGTGATTTCCTGATGTCATCTGGTGTGTGACAGAAACACTAGGACTTCCCAGAACTGATTTCTGGTTTGAATTAGGACATGTTTTTTGCTATAAAAACATGGTATGGTTCCCAAACACTTCCATGGCTGGTGAGTCCTTTATCAGTCCTTAGGATGTGGTTACAGTAACTACATGGAGCACACATTTTTGTGAATATTTTTACTCTTCAGGTTCTTGCCATAGTTCGAAGACCTTCTGACCAACTATTAACTGAATCATTTTCCTTTGCACAGACCTTTGTAGCGAACGCCAAGGTAAAGGGTGAAGAAGCTCACCCTTTCACGTAAACTTTGAGCAGATGGTTGGAGGTTCAGGCCAACAGGGCAGTTCAGCTGAGTGGCGTGGGTCAGTCCTGGGTGTCTCAGCCCTTACTGCTAGGTCAGGAGCTCTTCACCAAAGCCTGAGGGTTGCTGTAGCTGCAATTACAGTGTTGTCCTGACAAGTTGGTTGTAACTCTGTGTGTAAAAACAAGAGAAAGAATGATAAACTGGTAGAGAAATAAGTGCAGTAAAGCTTATCCCTTATTCCCCTACACCCCATTCAAAATTTTGGTCTGAAATATGTAACTATGTTTGTCAGCTGGAGTGAAGTAGGAGCTCACTTTTTGCATATGGTTCCTGTATTCTTCTATTTTCTTCCTCCTTCTCTTTGTTGTTTGTTTTTTTTTATACTAGAAATTCATCATTACTTTTTTTCTTCCCAGAGGTGAACTGATGGTGAGCAGAAAAACATTCTTGAAATGTGCAGTTTGTTTACTTTAATTTGCCCTTGGAAGAAAGCCTGATGATTATTATTATTAATTTTTAAATCCTATTGCTGCAATAGGTGTTTTTTAAGAAGGCTAGTCACTCAGCTGTATTTGCATACTATTTTTAATTATGGAATTCCTTAAGGACACCTTGCTATAATCGTATTTTTACATAAATTGTTTGCTACTTCCTCTTACTCTATTTTCTCCAGCTGGCTGTGCAGAAATCAAAGCAACGGCGAGTATGTGGGGGAAAGTTCCATGGATTTGCTTTTTAATGTGTTGGGTTTATAATCGCTGTCAGCCTGATCCTGTCACTGTATTTTTGCCTCTTCTATACCTCTTATTTGTATAGGTGTGTTATTAGCCAGGAGGTTTAAAGAGGAGAGATTTCTTCCCAGCTATATGTTGTGTATAATATACACAACACAGCTACAAGTCAGTGTGGGTTTGTAGGTGCAAGTGCCTGGCGAAGGGAATGGCAAACTGTTAGTCCTCTCTAAACCCTATTCAGCACAAGTAGGCACAAGTAAAAGGTGCAGTTTGGCTCAGTAGTGTTTTCAGTGAAACACATCCCAAACCTAACTGTAGCCTCCACAAGCTGCAGAGGAAATCTGGAGCAAGTAGTTACTGGAGACAAACGTTGTTAGTAAAGGGAGAATATCTTAAGCTAGAATGCCAGATGAATCCCCTCCCTAGCGAAGAGATAATCTAAACATCCACAGAGGTGAAGATGGAGAGGAATTGCTTAGTGTGTTGCATAGCTGTAAATGCAAATAAAATGTGACTGGAAGTGAGAGGGGTTTAAGCTGCAGACTGACAGGAGGATGAGGCACGCGGAGGAAGGGAGCTTGGATAATGACGTCTTAAGCAAGGGAGGGATCAGCTGACTCTTCCAGCCAAAAGGGCTAAAGCTGCTTTTCCCGTCTGTGCGGGAATGGTCTTAATCTCTGTAATCTAATGGCTCCTTCTGAGCCGTAGTACAGGAATGCTGAAAACATTCAATGCCTGTTGGGTCTGGCAAGACTGCAGTATCGGGGTGGGTTCCTGCAGAACAAGTCTTGAATGCCTGCTCAACGAAAAGTGCAAAGAGCTCAGTCTGCTGGACCTCCGGATGCACGTGGATGGATAAAGTTTTTCTTGGAGCTGTCGCCATCAGAATCATCCATTGCTAAAGGACTTTGTCTATTACTATAACCTTGTTTTCAATGCATGTGAACAATTGGTGCTAGCTGAGGGTTCAGGTTTGGAAGGCAACTACTAGACTGGGGGAGCTAGATTAACATGCTAAGGTTAGTAGTGGTTGTAGTGCTTCCATTTAAAAACCTAGTTGTATCTAAACAAGGAATAAAAACTTGCTTGCCATTCTTGCATTTGAAAGAGAAAATGATAGGCAATACCCTTTGGGTTTGCACCTCATTGAGGTTCACGTTCTGCTTTTCTTTCCATTACTGTTTGTGCCTGCTTATGGAGGGCAGTTTTGTAGGTATCAGCACTCTGGTCCCGGTGCTACAAGGTGCTTTGTAAGCACGCGTGTATCCTATGGTTTATACGAAGTATTAGCTAATTCCCATTCAGGGATATTCAAGCCTTTTGCAATGCTAATTTTAGCAGCTCAGGGAAGAGGAGTTGGTGGTAGCAGCAGCTAAGAGTAAACAAACCAGGTGGCTGTTAGAGAAGAGGGTTAGTCATGAACTGGTAAATGGAGGAAACGCCATGTGAGGATCAAGAGCTTTAGGAGGAAATAAAGTCCTCTCCCACAAGGGTTTTGCATTCCGCTCTGTACAGCAGGCAGGAGTCTCTAGGGGCTTACAAAACTGCTGGTTTCGGTTATGGTTTGTATACCAGCATTACAAAAGAAGTTGGGATTATACTTCTTTCCCTTTGAAATTTCCGCTCCCCCCCCTTCATTCTCATGTGCTTTTTTGAATCATGTATGTGACTGACTCCAGTGTTTTCTCTGGCTTCTGCTTTTTGGTATAAATGACCTGACGATTCTTTGTAAGAAGAGTGACCTAGGGGAATACAGACCTCGTGAAAGTAGAAAGCCATACATGGTCCTCAGGCAGATCTGGGATGTTAGAAAGTGGTAAACCTTAGAGGTGAAGTATGTGGTGGTGTTTGTGACCAGCAAAAGACATGTACTACAAAGTTCTGTTCTGCACAGAAATGCTAATACCTCCTCAAAGAGCCCTAGTAATTATATGCAACAAATCGACTGTGAAGCTGAGTCAGAGTCCAGTTGCCAGCTGTGTCAGAACGCCCTTGGTGTAGTTTCTCCTGATATGAGGGTCAAACACCTGCAGTAGCAGAGCTAGAGAAGACCAGAGGAACAGTTTCACTGCATTGGTTTTGCTGTCTTCTTACTGACCTGGCAGCCTATAGTCACCTTTGGTTCAGAAATCTGGAAGCAGAATGAAGAGTGGATTTGTGTAGCAGGTGAAGACGCTGGTAAGAGAGTAAGTAGCTGCTGTGTATATCTAAGGCACCCAAATACCAGCTGTGGGCCATAGTAGCCATTCCTTGCTAGGTGGTCAACCCTGGCCAGGGGATTCTGACGCTGCAGCACTGGCTCCTAAAGCGTGCTGATGGTGGTGAGCTTACCCTGGGCTTCTCCCACCCTTTACTCCTCCCTCTAAGCCTCCTTTCTTTCAGCTTAAAACCCTGGACTCGCAGACACTAACAGAGTATTCTTGGGAGATCTGCACGTGTCCCTTGCCCTTGTGGAGTTCCTCTGATGAGAACTGTGGTTTATGTGTGGTGACCCATGGGGAATCTTCTTGAATGTTTTCCCTGGGCACCCAGAGAAGCTGCAGGAAAAAGACATGAGTCCAGGCTTTGCTGCAGAGCTGTCTGTTCGCCAGAGCTGCTCTCGCTTGCTTTGTACTAACAAATTTGTTCAGAAGTTTTTCTAGGTCTGACTTCTGATGGAGAGGCTTCTCATAAAACTAGGGACAGTTTATTAAGAGGTG